CATGTTTCCAAAGCAACATACTTTTCCTCCTCCTTGATTTTTCCCCACAAGTAGATACTTTTGAAGAATAATGTACTTTTATTGGCTGTATTCTTCTGGGCCACTATAAACCTGTATCGTAACCATTACTCTTCAATTGTCTCTAAAGCTCAGTGCTTTTTTGAATAGTGTCAACTAATCTCATTTTTCTGACAAAGCATTTTGATGAGAATAGTAAAAATCCACATCTTAAAGTTTAAATACTAGGTAATAATGGCAAAAAGTCTGAGCTTTGCATTGTAGAAGTAGAGATTAATTGCTGGACATATCATATTATAGTCTGTATGTAAATTTCACCTTTTGAGGTCTCTGTTTTGATTTCAGAGACAATAAAAACAGACAAATATCATTCCTATATTGTAGTTGTAAATCTTATGTTTTGTTGGTCGTGTGTGGGGCTTAAGCTTAGGGCTTGGGTGCTGTCCCTGAGCCTTTTCGATTAAGGCTAACACTCTATCACTTTAAGCCAGAGAACCACTTCTGGTTTTCTAGTTGTTAATTGGAGTTAGGAGTTTAAGGACTTTCCTGCCTGGGCTGACTTTGAACCAGAATCCTCCGATCTTAGCCTCCTGAGTAGTTAGTATTACAACTATGAGCCACCAGCACCCAGCTTTGTAAATCTTTTTATTTATTTTGTTAATTCTTACTTTTTATGTTCTTCATTTCTTTTTTTTTTTTTTTGGCCATCCCTGAGGCTTGAACTCAGGGCCTGGGCACTGTCTCTGAGCAAGGCTAGCATACCTGAGACACAGCTCTACTTCTGACACTTTTTTTGGTGGTTAATTGGAGATAAGACTCTTAATGGACTTTCTCACCCAAACTGGCTTTGAGCTATGGTCCCCAGATCTCAGCTTCCTGAGTGATTAGATTATCACCTGCACCAGATGACCAATCATTTTGATGAAATTTAAAATTATGACATGTGAGACAACAAACTAAAGTCTGATTCTCATTATTCTCTTTATATGGGATTCTATAAAATTCAGGCATAACTTATAAATAACTTGGTGACTGTGGGAACTGAGAAGTCAGAGGATTTACCCTAACATTGGAATACTTCTCATGGAGGAAAGGAAGCCTAATTTGCTACCCTAAAAATGTGTCAGGGAGGCAAAACAATTATTTTGAGCTAGGGTAACTAAAACTCCATGGATGCAGGAAGAGTTCTTTTTGCTCCCCTAATCTGCTTGAGCTTATGGTCCAGATTTCTCTTTGAGAAAGTCATTCCCTTTTCTTACCCCACCCCCACCAGGGAGAGTAATTCTTCTCTTTAAATAGCAAGGTTTGACAGCAAAGTGAATGAACAAATGTACGTTTTCAGGTATCTTTTTTTCTTCCATTAGTTTCTCCATATATTTATTATTTTTTCTCTATAATATGTAAAAATTTTTTGGGGGGGGTCCGGTTGTGGGACCTGAACTCTGGGCCTGGGCGCTGTCCCTCAGCTCTTCAGCTCAAGGCTAGCGCTCTATCACTTGAGCCACAGAGCCACTTCCAGCTTTTTTTTTCTTTTTGCTTATGTGGTGCTGAGGAATTGAACCCAGGGCCTAACGCATGCAAGGCAAGCGCTCTACCACTGAGCCACCTTCCCAACCCCAATATGTAAATTTTTGAAGCCCAAATATTCCTGTTGGTTAAAAAGGCATAAGAATTTGAAAAAAAAATGTCTGTGATTCCACTATTCATTGTAGAATGAAGTACATAGTTCATAGTATCATGCCCTGTTTTGCATAACAAAGGGTAGTTGACCAATTAAGTCCATTAAGAAATAACAGGTCTGATTCTTAATAAATAATTAAATAGAATATAGTACATTGAATAAAATCCTGTGATTCAGTGCTGTGATTCCTGCCCACCCATCCACCCATGTAGGCTGAGGACAGTTTGTGGAGGCTGAGTCCAGACCTGAGCTGTTTGTTTATAAAGATAGCACCTCCTTATTCCTGTTGGTGAGAAAGCTTGCTGCAAGGAAGAATTAAGCAGATATAGAGTTCCATAAAATAATACCCCAAAATGTGCAGCAGACAATAATCCAAATGATCTTTAATTATCAAAAGCCAGAAAAGCTCCATTCCAATGAGACACCAATCAGCAGACAGCAGTGCCAAAATGAAGATGTTGTTGGGATACCTTGAGGAATATTTTGATATAGCAAATGCAAAAGTGAACACACATGGAAAAAATAGGAACTATGGAAAATTTTAGCAAAGAAATACAGGATAGAAAGAAAAAGAGGAAATTATAATTGAAAAAAAGAAATAACTCAGTTTTTACAAAGATCTAATGAATAAGCCAAATAGCAGAATGGGAAAACAAACAAACAGAGGAAAGAAACAGGCAATCCAAACTTGAAGACAAAAGCAATGTAAATGCCCAATCATAAAAACAGAAAGAGGAACTGGCACTGTGGCTCAAGTGGTAGAGTGCTCGCCTTGAGCCGAAGAGCTTAGAAACAGCACCCAGGCCCAGAGTTCAAGCCCCATGACTGACAAAAAAAAAAAAAAAAAACCAGAAAGAAAAAATAGACACAGGGTATGGTAGGTGGGGCAGTAGATAGCAGAATCTCAGAAATTTATGGAACTCTAATGACAACAACAAAAATCCAATATTATGTCTCCAGAATTTCAAAAGCAGTAAGAAATGAAAATCACTTTCTACAACTACTTAAAATACTATTTTTTTAAGCAGAGAAAGTTGAGGCTAAAAGAGAATTCACAGAAATAATATTTAAAAGATTCCCAAGTTTGTTGGACATAGACTTACATATTCCTGAGGCTAAGCAAATCCAGAAAATATAAAAAAAGAAATGTAAGGCAAGACACATCACAAATTAAAAAAAAAAAATCAATGACGAAGGAAAAATCACTACTGCAGTCAGAGAGAAAAAATACTTTATTATCTTTTGGGGTAAAATAACAAGAATGAGGGAAAATATCTCTTTTGAAAACAAGGTGTTACCTGAGAGAAGATGGCTCATGCTTGTAATCCTAGTTAATCAGTAGACTGAGATCTGAGGCTCACAGTTCAAAGCCAGTCATGGTAGGAAAGTATAGTTACTCTTATCTCCAATTAAGAGATGCAGCTCAAGTGATAGAACACTAGTCTTGAGCAGCAATAAAACTCAGGGAAAGGACCCAGTCCCTGAATTCAAACCTCAGGACTGGCACAAAACAAAACAAAAAAACTATGCATGGAGAAGAAAGTAGCACACTACTGAAGAAAAGAATTTACCCATAGCTAAGATATGGAACCAACCCAGATCCCCCTCAGTAGATGAATGGATCAAGAAAATGTGGTATATACACACAATGGAATTCTATGCCTCTATCAGAAAGAATGACATTGTCCCATTTGTTAGGAAATGGAAAGTCTTGGAAAAAAATATATTAAGTGAAGTAAGCCAGGCCCAAAGAAACATAGGTCCCATGGTTTCCCTTATTTGCAATAACTAGTATATTTCTGAGTCAAGCAGAAAAGGTCAGATAAGTTGATGTTAGGGAAATGAGCACCAAGATAAGTATTCAATTTTTTTGTTTCTTTTTCCTTTCATGCGATTGTTTCTATCATATTTATAAGATGATTTCTATGCTGCTTTGTATGTTCCTCCCCCACAGTATAATCCATACTTTCACTGTATTTAATGTTGGTATAATTTGTGGAGGGGAAGGGAAAGAAACAAATCATTTAACTAGGGATACAGGTGGACTCATTGCAACAATGAGATATACAAGTTGTTATGTTGAAAAATGAACTTAACAACTTTGGTGGGGATGGGGGGAGGACCAGGTGGGAAGAGGAGTATGGGAAGGGATGAGAAGGGGAGAAAACAAGTAGGCAACAATGCTTGATAAGAAATGTACTCATTATCTTGCCCATGTAATTGTAACTCCTCTGTATGGTATTCTCACAATTAAAAAAAAAACAAAGAATTTACCAACGTCATTTAGGAATGAAGGGAAACCAAGATATTCTTTGAAAAAGGTAAATCAAGAATTTATGACTAGCATACCTGACTCTAAAACAGTGGCTTAAAGGGCCAGGTGTGATGGCTCACATAGGTAATTTCAGTTGTCTGGAGACAGACAGGAAGATCATGATTTCCATGCCAGCTTGGAGTACAGGCTAAAGAGTGAGACCTATCTCAAAATTAAATATCTAAAGGAAGATCAAGCAAGTAAACAGTAAGAAAAAGGCTCTTTAAATACCAGAAAGCAAGAACAAAAACAGTATGTTTGAGAAAGGACTAAAGAGGGAGGACTACTATCACAACATGGCTACCAAACATTAGCTTTAGTTGTGGAAAGGATCCTACATACAAGGGCTATGCAGAGTACAGCTTTGTTGTTTATTTTACATCACACACATTTGATTCACCAGTATGGCAACTTTACCCATAGTTAGTGTATTTTTGCCATGTGCTTGTTTCCAGAAGTGAGATGACTATGTCAAATGAATCAGCCATTTCTTAATCTCTTCATAAGTAGTATCAAAACGATTTCAAGAAAGTGAGACTTCCATATAAAAGACCAACCAGCCATGCATGTCACCTGCTTTTCTGTATACTTGCCAGGAGCACTATCTTCCTGAGAGAATCTCAGTTTAAAAGTCCCAAGTAGTTTAAATCAACTTAAATCATCACAGTTTCTTCCTTTCAGTCTTTAAAAAAAGTCATATACATTTTAAAAATTCTTAAACATCCAACAGACAATTTTATTCGTGTCATCATTTTTGTACATCATGATATCCAATGGGCAATGCAGAGAGAAACAGACTCATAAATAATTTCACATAAAACATTACCAAGTAGTCGTTTTCTCTTCAAAAGAATTAGGGCAAAACATGACTTGAAAGAACACTTAAAAATAATGTAGTGGTGATTAATTTGGGCCAGGCAATGAGAAAAGTTATGTTTAATTGAACATGGTCTCAAATATCTTCTAAAAGGAAATGAATATACTTACAAATCGAACACCAAGTAATGGAAGCCTTCTTCCGATATGCTGTCATGGAGTCTCACTAAGAAAAACAAAGAAGAAAGTTTCTATTATGCTTATGCCAATGATCAACATAAAGCCAGTCTTGCAGGAGGCAACTGTCTCTAAATGGAAATGTGAATGCCATTTTTTATTTGAGCCTTTTAATATATCAATACACTTTCAGCTTGTCTTGGGATGAGACTGATTCAAAGTCTGAATTTTGATACTAATGATGATTAACTATGGCAACTTAAAAATTATTTAATTTGTAATGATATCCATATCTACTCTTCTGAAAATACTTGAGAATAAAGGTACAATAAAGGTAAAAATCATCCACATACTGCCACATAAATGCTATGTAAATATTAATAATTATTATAGCATATACCTAAAGTTACCAGGTTCCAACAAGTCATAAACTTTCTTGTCATATACTTCACTCGCTTTAGTTCATGCCTTCACTAACTCACATACTGACTATAAATAGGGATAGCAAGAGTAATCCTTGTAAGTCCAATAAAGGGTCTCCCTGCTCTTTGGTTCTGGAATAATACTGTCTGGCTCATCTGTTAAAATAACATTTTTAAGTTTTTCAGTTTGTTTTCTTTGAGATGGGTTTTACTATATAGCCCTGGCTGGCCTAGAACTCATGATTGATCTTCTTGCCTCGACCTCCTGAGAGTTGGGGTTATGGTGTGTACCACAATACTCAGTTTACTATGTATGTTCCTTGTTTTGTTTTTTGTTTATTTTTATTGTTGGTCATGTGGCTTGAACTCTGGGCCTGGGCACTGTCCCTCAGCTCTTCAGCTCAAGGCAAGCACTCTACCATTTGAGCCACCATGCCACTTTTAGTTTCCTGGTAGTTTATTGGAGATAAGAGTCTCACAGACTTTCCTGCCTGGGCTGGCTTTGAATCATGATCCTCAGATCTCTGCCTCCTGAGTAGCTAGGATTACAGGCATGAGCCACCGGCACCCGGCTTGTATGTTCCTTCTTTACTCAAGTCTCTCCAAAACCCATACTAAATCATTAGCTATAATTTCGATGTACCTAGAACATTATTGAAAAAAAATAAATTAGTTTTTCAAGATCATAAGAGTTTCCAATGAGTTAGACTTGGCAGAAAATTCTAGCTAAAACCAGGGTCTGTTTCTCACCACATTCAATGCACATTTAAAACTTACAGGCATGCTATTCTGATGTTTAGTTTTGTATAAACCCTCTGATTCATTCCCTCAATCCCTCATAGATGATTAATTCTATTTAACCCAATCCCTTGGGTGGTAGCTTACCCTTACTGGGGTAATAGAAGGCAAGGCAAACATCAAACATCACAAGAGTTCCTACAAAAGCGTCAGTGTTTGAACAGTGCAGGGATGACTACCACACAGACACTGTGTTGTTACACATTCAGGTTACCACACAGACTGAAGTCGTCCAGAGAAGTCAACAGAATGCATAAAAATTCCTCCACTATACACTTTATACTATTCCATGTTTTACAATCCAATTCTATCTCCTGACGGTATCACTGCTGGTACATTATAAAAATCTCTACTGAATCCCTCTCTGGAATTTTCTCCAAGTGTAGAAAAATAGACTTTTGAGTTATTCAAAATTACAGACAATTGTTTTCTAAATATGGTTTTGTGGGTCATAATCTTGGTGGGTTTTTTTGATACTACTGGGTTTGAACTCAGGTCTTATGCTTGCTAGGCTAGTACTCTATCACTTGAAGCACATCACCCTATTTTGCTTTAGTTTTGTTTTGTGTTGTACTTTGTGTGTTTCCTCATGCACACACACACGCGCACTCACAGGCATGTGCCAGTTTTGGAACCTACAGAGCCTATGGTCTGTTCCTAATCTGCTGTTCTATAATTGAAGTCATACCTACATTTCCAGCACTGTGTTGGTAAACTGGAGATAAGAGTCTCATAGACTTTCCTGCCCATGCTGGTTTTGAACCTCAGCTCTTTGCCTCCTAAACTAGAATTGAGCTCAACTGCTTTAGTTACTTTTCAGATAAGGACTCTTGCTTTTACTCTGGCCAACCTTGATCTAATTTCTCTCAATTTATGATTGAAAGGTACAAATATCCCTTCTTCCTTTCTTATTTCCCTCTCAGCTTCTTTCTACACAATCATCACAGTCATTTGGTAACAAAACTATGTAATACAGTCATGGCACTATGCCACATAATTACAGCATCTTAGGGAATAAACTTGTTTCTTTTTTAGTTAATTTTAACTCTTCCACTCTATTGTCAGAGTTGATGTTTTGACTGTTCAGTCTGCCCCATACTTTATAGTCACTGCCATTATCTGCTTCTCTTCGAGACTCTGCAGTCAGTTGAAAGTATCCTTCATTTTCTATCCTTTATTTCCTTGTTACAGATACTCAATGATTGAAAAATGTTTGCATTTATAACATGTTATGCTCATCATTTCCTAAAATAATTGTCAATTCCTTTCCATACCAAAGGGGCCACAGGACAATCTGTCATTCTACTCATCAAGGCTGTTAATTCAAGATTGGGATCTCGGCTAGCCTGGCTGCTTTGTGTCTGATGTGTGCCAAAGCATATTGTATCACGTTCTTGACACAACTGCTTGCTGCCGATGCCATAAGCCACACATATGGCTGCACACAATTAGCCTAATGACAGCCATTTCTACAATGGTTTTTGAGGGAATATTTAGAGAAGATAATGAGAAAAGCTGTTAAGATAGCTTGTGGTTAGTTACACTTCTCTGAAGTTTGCTGAAAGGTAAAATTAAGTTTTAAGATCAAACAAGTGATTTTTCTTAAACAGAAACAGCCATATACTTATCTGGAATAAGATTTTAAATTCCAGAACTTGAAATATGGACTTCTAAGGGGAAAAAAAATTGCCTCTGAGGCTAAACTAGTCCCAAAGTTAGTTGATCCATGGCTTAATTCACTTCCTCTCTCTTCTTTATATATTACCATTCTGGTAGTTTGTATTCAAATCATCATAGTAGTTCTGCTTTCTCTTCCGGTCATTTGTTCTTAAAAGATTTCACCACAGCTAAAGCTGGTGGCGCACACCTGTAATCCTAGTAAAAAGACTGAGATCTGAAAATCAAGGCTTGAAGCCAGCCTAGGCAGACAAATCTGTGAAATTCAACCAGCAAAAAGCTAGAAGTGGAGGCATGGCTCAAGTGGTAAACTGCCAGTCTTGAGTGACAAAAATAATATAAAATAAAAGCAAGAACAGGAGGCGCTGAGCTGAAATCAATTCCCAAAGCAAACAAACAAAAATCATATCCTTCTTCATTTCTTGGTTCCCTCTCTTATATGATTTGCCTATGTGAGGCAAACAGAGCCTTCTCAACCTTAGTATTCTCCAGTTGAGTTCTTGCAAACCAACTGCAGTGCTAAAAAGTTGTGTTAGCATACTGAAAGACCAGAGCGATAGTGAGAAGTCACCTTAATACCTCATCACTAGCAAAGCTCATAACTCTGTGAGTGACCATAGACACATGCATTAAAAAACATCATCTGATGGAACCCATCAACTCAAAATATTAAGGCAAATAATGAACTGGGACTGTTTCAAGTCACAAAGTAGGGGATAAAGTATTGTGGGCAACAAAAGATACATCCACAGTAATGACTTAATCTGAAATGTGTAATTGTCTTCAGATAATTCTTTCTATGTCATAGGTAATTTTTTTTTAGCAGAAAAAGAACAAGTTTGGCCTCGAAAGCATGAAGGAATTAGTATAATTCTCTGAAATTGAACATGGTAGGGCAATACTGCCAATGTTATCACAATACTAATAAAGTAATTCACAGAGAACAGATTGCATTGCATCCCTGTAATCACTATTCGTGGTTTCTGAGCATCAGCTTTGGATATAAATGGGACAGATTCTGCATTTTTAGCTTTTCTGTGTTATAAGACTTGTGGTAGCTGGATTCAGTTCATATACTAGGATGGAAAAATGGCAGCTTGCAAGTCAGATCCTTTTTATATTCCCATCAGTAGTTAATTATAATTCACAGCCAGAGCAAGCACTAGCCAAGCTAGGTCATATAACATGCCAAAAGCAGGATGCCAATATTGAATTCATTTGTAAATTTAAAAAAAAACACCTATACCAGTAGTAGGCCATTTTAACAGTTAAAAGCATCACTGAAGAGAGAAATTTCAGCTCTACTACTGGGTCTTCTGTGTCAACATTGTTGATCTCTAGAGACCAATTTTCAAAAAAAAAAAAACAAAAAAAAACAAATCCACAAACAGAAGCACTGACAACCACACTCAAAGACCAATTAAAAATACTCGTGGAAAACTAAAGGCATTTCTGGTTTTTTTATTCAGTCTCTATTTCTTATAGCATAGATGATACAGTTAATAAGATTACATCCAGCTGTTTTTTTATCACTTCAATATAAAATATATTAATTTGACACATTTAAAATTTTTCTTGCCCAGGCTGGTTTGAACTATAATGCTCTGATTTAGCCTCCTGAGTAACAAATATTTCAGATGTAAGCCATCACTGCCCATGCAGTATGTACTCTTAATAAAATATTTAGCAATATGCCCCACTAATACAGGCCAAGCAACCCATTATTCATCACTCAAAAAAAATCAAATAACATCTACATCAGAAAATGAAAGACTACTTTAATAAAATTGTAAATATTTTCCTATACTGATAAATCTACTTTTCAATTGAATATTAACTAGCATTCAATTATTTTTAAAAATAAATTGTTTATACTTAAGAATAGAGACTAAAAATTAAGCACTTTTTAAAGTAACTCTATTACATGAACATGTACATTAATTTACAAACTATTCTAAAAAACACAGAAACAGGTTTTGGAATTCAAAACCAGTATTTGAGGTCCCAGTAAACCAGCTGTGCTGATCAGAGACCCCATTTTTTTCCCTTAGTCTAACATTTTATTTATGAGACTGAAAAACATGAGAACCTAGGGAAAGTCTGTGGCTGGAGAAAATAGAGAATATCTGCATATACTTTTCATTTTCAAACT